CAATTTTTAAAGATGAGCAAGTACCTAAGAGCCCATGGAAAACCATGGATAGAAAGGGTGATAACACCTTCCCTTTCTATAATCTACCCCCCGTACTCAAAATCTCGAAAAAGGAATTTTTCTGTGCTTTTTTCCTTTCCAGTAGGATAAAATAAAAGTTGATGACGAATCTTGCTTACTGTGACATTTTGCGAATAAAAAACGCAAAACACAAACCAGCATTTCAAAACAGTCGGTTCTGCCACCGTATCATAACATACATCATTAATCCACTTATATATGAGCACTAACATAAATGGCCAATTATGGATGAAAAGATGTTTCTTTGGAAGTCTAAAAGTCGAGAAACTATTACAGAATTCCAAAGTTCACTGTAGAAACTGGATTTGACACAGGCAGTGTTATCTTACATAAGGGGGTTGTGTCAAGCAACACAGTCAGCCCGTGTTTTTCTCAGAATTTTACTTTGGGAGCGCCTCATGGGCCAACACGGCCCGTGTCAAATGGCACGACCATTGCGTGCTGGTCACAGATCTTTTCTACTAAGACTTTACTCGAACACGCAATGTTCTATCTTTTTCACTTTAGTCTTTCCTGATACTTATTTATTAACTGAAATCAACAATAACACACAAAAGCACATAAAAACAAATCAAAGCATTAAAATCACACAATAAAACAGGAATAACATAAACTAAAAATATGTTGCAATAATCACTTATGAGTCTCCCCCAACAATTATAAATCTCCATAATTAAGATCTGAAATCAAACTAGAGGTTGAAGATGAAAGAAATTATGTTTGCAAGAGATTTTGAGTTTTAAAAAATGAAGGTTGTTGATTTCACAAAATCACTTTGATTGATGTTGTTTTGTTGTTATGAAAGAATGAGATGACAAAAGAGTTTATATGTGCTAGAGATTATGCACAAAAATAGGTGAAAATGGTAGTTTTATTTGAGTAAAGAGCATTTGTGATTTGAGTCAAATGAGCAAGTAGAGTGAACATGATCAACATAAAGAAAAATGACACATTTCCTGTAATTCGAGTCATGATGTAGCTATGATTCGAGTCATTAAGGCTCGTGATTTTAGTCAAGTAAAAAGCTTGATTTGAATTAAAGTGCTCATAACCAAACAAGAAAAAGTGAAAAACCTTGTGATTTGAGTCATGTAGAAAGTGTTATTCGAATCAAATGAGGCAGTGGCTAACATGACTCATGTGATTTGAATCATGTGCAACTTGTGATTTGAGTCCCAGTGTTGCATGATTTGAATCATGTGTAAACTATGATTTGAGTCACAGACACCAAAAAATTCTTGTTCTCCTTTGTTTGATTTGATTCTAGTAATGAATTATGAGTGGTTCGAGTCACATACAATAAATCTCAATTTTTCAAGTTTTTAAAAATAGTTTGAGATTTCACTTCCCACATAACTCGAACCAATTACAAATATGGTTCTTGTTCCGTTAACTCAAGCAATTGACTAAAATATATAATGATCATACTCAAATACAAACAATTGAATTATGCATGCTAAATCGAATGATGTGAAATTATGAAGGAGACTCGATAAATAATAATAAACAAAAATAAAGCTTAAGAGACAAGCAACAATATTATATTGAGGTTTTCCCCTAATATATTTGAGGCATGCAACATGCCAAATCATAACAAAATTATCCATAGACTTGGCCCTACCATCTAATTAAAAGAAAGATTAAAAATTAAGCATATAGTCACGAAGAAGAACCATCTACCAACTCAACCTTTGAAAGATCATATACCATATATATATGGATAACTCACAAGAGATAAAAATATGGGAAACCGACTTAATTGAATTTCCATAAAAGGACAAGAAATCCTAGTAAGATTAATAACAACACTCCTTTTAGACAAGTTCTCTTTAAAAGAGAATCTATCTTGTGAAAATTGTCAAGAGAAGACCAACACTTTAGGATGAGCTCATCTAACCCAAATAAGAGGAAGGGTCAAGTCATCACCCGTAAGAGATGGCGAAAAAATAGACAACTGAACATGATAAATAGAAGCAATAGAGAAAAAAAACTCTTTCTTGTATGCTTCCAAATCCATTTATCAATATTCTGAGAGATAATAACACCTCAGAGAAAAGAGATAATATTTTTAAACACGGATAACTCTCTAAGAAAGAAGCGTAACATCCATTTAAGATTCTAAACTAGGTCCCATTTACCTACCAAACCAATCTCTCCCACCAGTCCATATCTGATAGAATGGAGTTAGAGAATAGACCTAGAAACTTAAACTTTAATGGAATGAGTCATAACCAAGGGTTCTTTCAAAGTTAAGTTTAGATGCATGACCACACTTTCCTAAGGATATCATCAGAAACCAATCGGAATGGTCATCTTCTTTGTACCCTAAGAGAGACATAAAGGTGTGAAAAACACAAGAAAAGGGGGGGGGGGGTTGAATTGGGTTTTTAAAACAAAATAATTCTTTTAAAAATATTCCCCTTTTAAGTTCAAATATTTTTCCTTCACTCTTGATAATAACAATAAATAAGAACATGAAGTAAAGAACAATGTATGTTTATACTAGTTCACTTGAAAATTATCAAGCTAGTCTAGTCCATCCGCCAAGGTGATTTCGCCTCACTCAATCAAGGACTTAATTCACTATAACCAAATTGATTACAATTTGCACAAGCTACCCTCAAGTGACTAACAACCTCTAGACTCGCAAGCCCTAGACTTCTTAAGGATTCAGACCTACCTGGTCCCTTAAGGAATATCAACTAATAATCAACCTGATTATTAAAATGCACAAACTACCCGCAAGTGACTAACAACTTCTAAAACTTGCAAGCTCTAGACTTCTGAAGGATTCAGACTTACCCAGTCCCTTAAGAAATAGCAAACAACAGTTTGAATACAAGTTTTGTTTATAAGAATGTTGTTTCTAAAAAGTTGAGTATGTAAATTATTTTATGAACAATGACTTAAGAATGTGAAAGCAATGAACAACGTTTGCGCGTGAATATTTTTTTAGTTGGCTGCTTTCTTTCTTATTCTTCAAGCCTTTATATATAGCCATTAGCATAATGTATCCGTTGAGGGATACTCTTGGAATTTCCAGAAACATTGGCAGCTTGTATAGTAACATGGGGACAAGATCGTGCGATGCGTTCGTCCTTTCATGGTAGTGGAATGAAATGTTGATTGTATCATGTACTATTTGTACCATATTAACTTTATCTTCTTTCCTTCTTCACTTCAGAGGCTTCTGCGAGCATGAGTTTAGAAGCAAGAACATAACATCAGGTCTTCAGAACTGCATCTTCAGAGTCTTCAGCACTTAGTCGTGAGAACCTTTTCTTGGAACCTTGGGTCTTTAGAACTTCAAGTCTTTAGACCTTCTGTCTTTTAGAGTTTTTATCACCTGGTCTTCACAACCCTTATCTTTAGAACTTCATTAATAGAAACACAAGCTTTCAGCATCTGGACTTCATTAGAAACTTTGTCTTGAGATCTTCTAACTTTGTTTCTTTGGAACATGTTGTCTTTAGAAGCTTGAGTCTTCAGTATCTGGACATAAGTAACAACTTTTGTCTTCAGATCTTTTGAATGGTTTCTTCATACAAATATCAGAGTTTACACTACAGAGCCTTTTGGAGTGTCTTGATATTGTTCAACAGAATTTGTGTAGCATAGAAGTGGAATCAATTCTCTTATAATATCTTGGTCACACCATTCATCAGAAGCAGAACCTATTTGTTAAGTACTCAACAATAACAAACATTAGTACAATAAAATTGTTCATACAATCATACTCATTTGTTATCATCAAAACTCAGAGATAATATTGCAGAACCAAATCTTGTTCTTACAATACACTCAGAGGTCCCAACTCTTCATTTGTTTGCTACGTATGCATAATTACATTTCGTGTTCATTACCCATTTTCGGTTTGAAATTTGTTCGGGATCCTTCTTAACCGAACACTTCATCCCCGCAGCAAGACTCGCACTCAGGGGGCTTATGTACATCCCAAAAATAATTCCCCTAGCCGAGTTTTAAGGTCGTCTGAAATAAAGAGTACTTATGGTTGTAGGAGCTAAAGGGAGCCCGCGTAGTGAATTCATATGCGTCCCGTCTCGTCCTAAATAAGAACATATTAGCCGGATAGCAGGCCTTATCCGGGTACAAACCTTTTTGCAGTGTAATACCCTAGGACGTGACCTAACCTCATGGAAGGGTCAAGAATCTGGAGACAAGCGTAACACATGACGATAGCCGCTTGGTTTAATGTGAATGTTATGCGCGCTTAATTGCGCCAATCATGGCTGATGGCGGACGTTATAAACATCTGAAACATAGGAATGCAGGGAGACACTTCTTAAATGAAGCTCTTAAAGGAGGGCAATATGAAGGCTATAAAAGGAGCTCCCGACAAAGGGATAAGAAAGACATTCATCTTGGGACAATACGCAACACTGTTGTAGCTCTCAAATCTCCAAATAATCTACAAAAATCTATCCATTGCGGCTCTCCCTATACCTATAAAAAAATTACTCATTTATTGTTTTTACGCAAGAACAAATTTCTAATATAGTTTTTATGCGATAGAAAAAAGAAGATGTAGCACAGTGACACTTTGATATTTTATGCAGTAGACAATTATAATTATAATTAAAATACAGCCTAGGTGTATGGATTATTTGTGTCACAAAGAAAAATAATAAAAATATGATAAAAATATAAAACCGTATAAACTACTGTAAGTGTCATAAGTGAATGTAAGAATATCATTTGTCTTATGTTATTATAATCTTTCAATGAATAAAAAGTTTAAATAATTTACACATTTCTAAAACGGTAAACATTAACTAGATATTTATACATAAAGTATAATTATTAAAAATTTCCATTTCCTTTAACAAATGGAGAAAATGACATTTCATTCAAAGTACAATTGAACTATCCACCACCATTTCTCTAAGAGCATTTCTGTATTAAGGTTCCCTGTACTTGTGTTGTGCTGTCCACCTTAAATGCAAATTAATCTTTCCAGATTTGGCATCATCCAAAATAAATGTTTCGTGGTATTCCCCTTCTAAGATCACCTTTGTTAGTGTCATGATCACTTTCCCCATTTTTTCCTGAAATAATTAAAACAATACACTCAATTTGGTAGAGTACATATTTTACAACAAACAACTTCAATGAGACAAATTTAAAAAGCATTTACCTTGCCAAATGTATCATGATCCCAAAGTTCAACAATTAACATGTCGTGTAAACCATCCTCCACAACAAAGTCAAATGTTTGATTCCATACTGGATTTAAGGTTTCATTTACAACCTGAAAATACATTAATTATTGTTTAATTATTGAAACTATATATATAGAGAAATCAATATTTGCTGCACATTCTATCAAATGTTCTTACTCTAGTTTTGACTTTCTTTTCTGATTTTTTCAATGAAAGGACAACAAATGGATCGGCCTTGCCCATGAAATCAACTACTGGCAAATCTTCAGCTGAAATTACAGTGACTGATAAAACTCCTCTTACAATCACACTGTTTCTCCTTCGCGACGATGATTGTGATGATGGTCGCGACGATGATCGTGATGATGATATTGAAATATCATCGTCCTCTAAGTCACTAGATCCACTCTTGAGAGTCTTCTCAAACGTGGTTAAATTATAATCAGGAGAAAAAGGGCTTTTAAAAGTGTTCTCAACTCCATGTGGACAGTACAAGAGCTCCAAGTGCACCTATGTGGGTAGATATTAAAACAAACAACATAAACTACTAGTCAAACTCTACACAAACTTGCAATTGAATATAACAAAAATTCTATGAAATTATAATATATTACCTCACCCCTATATTTGTTATCTCTCTGGATTTCTAAATCCTTAACCAACTTCAACCATACATCCTTGACTTTACCAGGTTCAAGGTCCTTTAAGGAAACTTGGGCGCAACCAATAAGCTCTGCTGCTTGGATTCCTTCGTCGTCGAAGATTCTTATGGTCAAGTGTTGTGTTGATGCATCTTCAATAACGAATTCAAAGTGTTCATTCCATATTGGGTTCAATTGGTTGCTCTGAATATATCCAATAGTTGGATTACAAATTAAAAACAACATGTAATGATAAATGAAATAATAACTAATGATAATAAAGGAATGTCTTACTATTGTTTTACTGGTTTTGGTTTTGTTGCGAAGTGGGCGTACAAATACAACAGCATAAGGATCAGATTTCCCAATAATATCTTTATTTGCTAAGTTCTTTGCTTGCACTAACTTTACATCTAGTATTCCAATTGGTTTCAATTCTAGGTTACTGTCCAAGGAAGAAAGAATCATATGTTCTCCAATAAAATAAGAAAATCCAAGTGATTTATATCAAGCATAAGGATATGCATGGCATCATAATCAAAATTGAAAGAACTTTTTGATACCTGTAATCTCCTGGTATAATTGGTATAATTTTGCGTACTGGCCAAGTTATAGAGTCTTCAATAGCATCTCTAATTGTTTCCTAAATATATAACAAAATAGTTTGTTACTTAGGTAGAGTATTGTATTGATATGAGTCTCCATGATTCAAACTACAATGCATAAAAACTATCATAAAAAAAGATTTTTGCTTGTACCTCTATAGCATCAGATATCCCTGGTAAAGACGAAATATCGCCACCAACCACCTTAAGAGTAAAATCCAAAGCTTTCTGTTTGCAGAACAAAGAAAAACAAAACTTGAAATAGTTGGATTCTTAACCTTACACATTTTTTAAGATACACTTATTAACTACAATTACAAGACAGTAAAACTCACCTTTTCTCTTAGAGAAAAACAGACAGCTCCAAAAGCAGGGAATTCATTTACTAGAGGTTTGAAGATCAACCTGAAAACCCCAGTGAATCCAATATTTTTTACCTATATAAACAAGTTGCAATGAAATAGAAATAATAGAATGATAATATTGCATAAAATTGTCCTAATATATTATTTGTGTATTACCTGCACAGGAAGTACCACACCAACTTTGGTTTTAATGTCTAGAACAATATTTGGGGTACCATCCCATTGCATGTCAAACTCCATTGTGATTCCATTAGGTCCACTATCCTCTTCAATAATTGAAATCCCTACATATTTCAGAATCAATATGATACTTCAGATGAATAAAAAAATTACATTTTAATAGTTTGAAAACCTTTGAGTTCTCTTTGTTCTCATTGCTTATGACTTATGAGTATCAACTTAAATCTTATAGGAATAATAATACACCTAACCTGTAAATTGTGGAGCTACATTACCAAGTGTCAACTTGGAAAATGTGAGAGAAGACAAAATCACTGGCCTATATTGTTCAAGAATGGGTTCAACATTGTTTCTTATCAATTCGGAAGCTGCCTACATACATATTCACATTCCAATATCACATCATCAAAAATGTCTAGATCCATATATATCCTCAAAAAATCAATGTAAAGTACCTCATCAACGAACGGCCAAATCTTTTGTAGTTGAACATTAAGCCAATTTAACTGCATTAACGAACAAATAAATATTAGAAAGCGTTAGCAAATTTGAATTGGAAGATTCTTGGAGAAATTAGAACTTAACTTTTGTCTCTTAGTAAAAACCACCCATGGTGGATAGAAATTTGGAGGCAAAAGTTTTCTAGAATCTTCCACCGTCATCCTTGCAAACCTTGCTATCGTCTTTGCCTATAATTGATATACAAAATCCACAATACAACACATGCAAAACCAAAATTATTGTTGAATGAATTACATGAATGCGAGTTTCAGAAAATATACCAAATCAGTGCGGCGTTTGGACCGAGTGCTTTCTTGACGAGCGAAAGCGATGATCAATAGGATACCGATTGTGAAACCAATGAACATGCCACTGATGAATCCCATTTTTATTCAGGAAATTGATGGATGTATGGAAAATGGAACAAGAGGATCACAATGTGTGAATCAAGCATTGTTTTTCAGGCCATGTTTGTTGGGAATACAAAAACTTTCCTGAGAGAATTTGTTATGAGTTAGTTATGTTTGTTACTTAAGTGGAACCCACATGTTTATGTGAATTTATTGAATTTTTTTAGTTCAATTATAAAAAAGTTAGGCTAATATTTTTTTTTAATAAAATATTGAATAATGTAAATATTTATTATTGACCAAAAAAGAGTTGAATATGTAGTTGTTGAGTTGATGCACTCCTAATTAGTATGTGATTTTGTATTAAAAAAAATTTAGTATGTGATTTTGTTAAAAAAAAAAAAAAACAGTAGTATGTGATTTTATTTCCTATTTGTTGACAACTAGTATACTTTCCTAAACTTTGTCTACGTGATTTGCAGCTAAATATTGTACCATTATAATATATTTAAAATATCTTTTGTTGCAATAATATTTATAATATTATACATTGCATTACCAATAGGACAAATAGAGGACTCATATCCATCTCTATTTTTTTTTATAATTAAAAAAAAATATCAAAATAAGATATATATTAACTATCAAAAATAGTTACTCCAATATTTTTATCCAAGATCACACGAAGAATATAAAATTACAATCTAAAACATTGAAAAAAATTCAATAAAAAGCGAACTATATAATCGTTGATAAGAAAGTTAAAGGATTTAACCTTCAAATCTGATAATCATGATTGAAAGTAACATATTTTGACTTTAATCACCAAAATGATTAAAGTTTTAGTCTCTCGGATAACGCCTTCAATTGTTCTGGTTTACTCTGAAAAATATATATATCTATTTCGCTCTTTTCGAGTAATCCAAATTACATATACTCAAATAGTATTAAGAGTCAACCGAACATTTTTTGAAAAACCACCTAATCCGCAAAATTTGTAAGAGATGATCTAATAACTTTTCTTGAGATGCTGTTGAGAATCCTAACCAATTAGAAATAATATGACACAACCTATCGAAAAAATACATTTTACAAATAAATTATCTTTGTCTTCATCCACGCTACAATTCACCACACATCTTTGATCGCTCATAGCAAGAATTCGCCGCCTAGCAAAATTTTCTTCGACGGAATACAATTCAATAGCAATTGCTAAACAAAAATCAAAACTTTAAATGACACAATCTTCAACCACAAAATTTGAAAAATTAAAATTAATTTAAAAGAAACATAAGCATCAATATTATAAAAATTTAAATCTAAATCTATTAGTTCATCATTTGCACTAAACAAATTTTAAAGATTTAAATATTTGTATTGGAAAAATTTTAAGTTATCCATTATTTAGATAAAACTCGAAAATAGTTTAGATCGAGTGACATATCTTATATTATAAGTTAGATGTGTAAGGATGAGTTAACTAAAGTTTTAATTCTAATATACTCAAAATATGTTGTTATATCGTGTAAGTCTATCTTTTTTTTTTTAATTTATGTATATGACCCTTGTTGATTTTATAATTAATTCTTCTAAAATATGTTAATATTAGTTTCTATAATAAATGTTTTTATGACTATTTTATTTTTATTTAATATTTAAAAAACTTAAATTAAACAGTTTACTATTTTTTTACAAGCAAGCTTTATTAATGGAAGTACAAAATGTACTACAACCTAATAACTTTTATACCCCTTTTTCATTAAGTAAAACCTCAATAATTTGTCAGCTCAAACTCTGAAAGTGTATTTCTCAAGGTTAAGTCTTATATGATTTGTTGGATTCGCTTAAACAAATTGGTTAGGTGTTGTCGTGCTACTCTTATTTGTTTGATTTTATAATATTATCATCTATGCATACTTCTAATGTTTCATTGATCTCTTTTTAGAAGATCTTATTCGTCATCCTCTTATACGTTGCACCTGAGTTTTTCAAGTTGAAGGACATACACTATTACGAAAAATCAATTTCACAATGGTTAGAAAAGAGACACCATCACGTCTGACCAACCGTTGTGAGGTAAGGGATGGTTGTATGTATGATGCTTTTCACCGCGGTCGTGCGACTGTGATTATAAGCTATGTAGCGCGCTACCTATCACAAAGATTACTTCAAACAACCATTGTGATATTATTTAATGTGTGACATTTAACAACGGTTGTTCTAAGCATATGTTGTGATATATATACACTAAGTTTATTATAAATTATATGGAATGCTTATTTCGTCAATGCTCACTAAAAACATATAACTTTTCAATCTGATCTACAATATTATAATATGACAAATTAAGTTATACTAGAAAAATAAGTCACACGTTCAATGCCAAATAATAATTCTTTAACTCTTTGTTTGTATTTTTCTCTTTAACGGTTAGAACTTGGTTTAATGCTCCTAGTTCTTCAATCTCCCCTTCCTTCACCTCTAGTTTATTTTACAACATATTAATTATTTTACAAACAAAATTAGAAGTGGAGGAAAAGGATATTGAAGAACTAGAAGCATTAAACCAAGTTCTAACGATTAAAGAGTAAAATGCAGATAATGGAATAAAGAATTCTTGTCTAGAATTGAATGTGTAACTTGTTTTCTAATATAATTTATCTATCATATTATAATTTTCTAATGCAATCCAAAAAGTTATATATTTGATAAGATGTTGGAAAAACACTCAAACCATATAAGATATAATAAAATTATCTTTTAAATAAACATTAACAACATCATTTATCAACAACATTCATCAACAACAAATCTTAAACAACATACAAGATACAACAAACAATTATTATTGAAAACAACAAAATTATCAAAACATGGCATAAACTACATACAACATAAAACTTTTATTAATAACAACAACAACAACATATCAACTCATAAAATGTTTCAGAAACATACGTGTCCTATAATGGCATCCAAAATGAAAGGAGGATAAAGTTGAAGTGAGAGTTGCGAACTTGTTTTAATTTTGAATGGATGTCATTCTAGTCTTTCACACAAGTTTGCAACACTCACTTTAACTTTATCCTCATTAATTTTTTTCATTCACCATCCCTACCTACAAGTTAAAACAAGGAAAAAGTTCGGACATTATGAAATAAGCTATTGAAACATAAACAATAATACATAAAAATATTTTGAAACATAAACTATTGTGAAGAAAAACATGTAAGGTAGCCATTTCCTAAAATTTGATGCAACAAAGGTATCTGTGATACGGTGGGAGAACTGACTTGGGATTTTGCGTTTGTGTTCGTAAATGTTTCAGTTTAGCAAGAGTCACCACCGACTTTTTTATTTTTATCCTAAGGAAAGGTCAAAAAGCACAGGAAAGACCTTTGAGATGTTTTCTTGGGTTCGGGGAGTAGATTATAGAAAGGGAAGGTATTAGCACCCTTTCTATCCATGGTTATCCATGGGCTCTTAGTTACTTGCTTAGATCACTTGCTTTGCTTTTCAATTGTTTGAAATGGTGCTTTGTGTGTGGTTTTGAAAGATGTTTTGAAAAGAGGTCATCCTTGTGGCAACCTTTGTAATGATTCTTTGTTTAAATGTATACAAAGGTGTTTTTGTCTTTTGAAAAGTTTCCAATGTTTGAAAGTAGGGTTTTGAATTTTGTGTTGTGAAGTTCATTTTGAAGATAGCAAGGATGTTTCGCAAGATTTTGATCAAGTAACTAAGAGTTGTCTATCCTATTTTACTCAAAGATCTTTCTTATGTTTTTAACCCTTTTAACAGTGTTGTTTTACCATTGTATTTGGTGAACAACCTTGTGTTAGGATGTTAACAGGACAGGCGCGGGTCATCGTATAGACCATGATAGCAATAGTGTCAAGTATTTTTGGCAATTTTCTTGAGCGACTTGATCATTTTGTTTAGGCAACCCAGATAGCGTCATCAAGGGACTATGATCTTTTGTTTTGTTTTTGTTTTACCAAAGTACTTGACATGCAACCATGGCCCATTTTTTGAAGGCAACAAGTGGATTGTAACCCTAGGGGTGCAAGTGTGCATTGTGTTTGTTCTTTCATGCATTGTTATCTTTGGATTAGGTCAAGCTAATTGTTACTTTGATTTTTTTGCATACAAAATCCTAAGTCTAATCATGGCATAATTGAAAGCTTAAAGGTGCGAGAATTTAAATTCTACACTATTACAACATGATATAGGGAGGGGGATACAAATTTGAATTGGGGATTATTTTGCAAGAAATTAAATTCTAAATTATTACAACCAAATCGAATGTACAAGGCATAATGTTAAATATACAATATCTAAAGAAATACAATAAATATTAAATAAAGCATATTATGCAAAAATGTTTTTATGTATGACAAGGTATTTTTAA